AACAGACTAGGGATATCCTATTATTCCCAACATACATGTTGAGTATGCCCAACATACTAGGGATGCCCTAGTACGCCCTGTGTACGCGGCTGGCCCAAAAATCGCCTAACTTCAAATGGTCGTAACTTCTTCGTTCGAACTCCATTTTTGACGTTCTTTATATTCATGGAAAGGTATTGAAGAGCTCTAAAATATTATCTAAAGATCTTAGACTAAAAACTTCTCGGATATAAATATATATTTCATGCAAGAACCCGGCCTATGACTTTTCCCTTTCTACCCTTTGACCCAAAATGCAATTGAAGGGTAAAATCTCTTAACTAACACTACCACTTTCGATAAGGACTAAACTTTTCCTCCTTAAAGCCCAAACCCTTACACAATTAAATTCTGGACCACGGCCTAGAAATTGCAGCAAACAAGTTGTTATATTTCATCAAGCTTAAACTGACTGAAGGCGAACATGAGATGATTTATAGGAAAGTCAAGTTGATTAAAGTTGGTGTTTTTGATGTCATAAATTTTCTTTGGCTTCTTCATGAACTCATCAACTTTATCAAGCATAGTTATTTCAATGGTCTCATAACACCACACTTTGTTCGAATCACCCTTGTTCAAACCTGGAGGATCATTGACTCTTTGATTCAAGATGTTGTTCACCTGTCTTTATCTCTCCAGTTCAATCTTCTGCAATCTTTTCTTCTCTTTTATAGATTGTTCAACATGAACACTTTTCCCTTTATATTTGTGATCGACATTCAATGTTTTCTTGACCATAGTAGAACTCAAACCTCCTCCACCAATAGAAAATGCTTTCTATGAAACTTTGACAAATCAACATTCACTTGAGGAGCATTTGTTTTTGTTGTTGTTGTTGACACAATTGGTTTCATTGGAATCGATGTAAGAATTTGAATGGAAAAAACTCTTCTGTCACACCCCAAAACTGGAATGGCGGAAACGTTTTGGGGCGGAGGACGTCATGTACAGTATAACAACACAACATAATAGTAAACAAGCAAACAACATCATCCATTGCATTAATAATATACTTTAATGCAAGTGTGTTATGTATAGTTTATAAGACACCAAACTGAATAATCAAAATATAGATGAGTCTGGAAGTGTTCCGTCTTCTAAAAAGCTGCCATCGGTACCTGTCTGTTGATGACATGAGAATACAAGTTATTTTGAAAGAGTTTATTAGCATAAAGCTGGTGAGTTCATAGGCATTGTAGTGTCATTGTTTGCATGAAAAATGTTTGTAAGTGTTTGAATGTATAAGTTTGTAAAAGTTTGAAGTAAATGTTTGAATCTCCTAGAAAATCCTATATTTTCTACTAAAAGTAGTCTTCTACCAAGGCATCAAATGTATTGAATGTTTGTTATTGTAAAAGTGAGTATTTCTCCTAAATTTGATATCATTATCAAAATATAGATTTTTCATTACTAATTGTGTGAGAAGATCATAAAATGAATGCAATGGGAAAATAATAAAGTTGAAAGAACCCCTTTCTAAACTTTCATATTTCTAAAAGACCCAAACTTTCATACTTGACAATATAGTTTCTCCAAAACATGCTACTTGCATATTCATAAAAACAATATTTTACATTGATAAAGAGGTTACAAACTACTGGATACAAACCGACTATTACAAAGTGTTATATATTACATAACTACCCAGGATATTGTAATTTATACAAACATAAACTGAAGTATAAAAGTACTATCACAAACTATTCTAAATCTTCCAACAGTATATGATCATACTGATTACTTATCTCCTGCAATTGTTAAACATTGATAGGGTAAGCGGTGACGCTTAGTGAGTTCAATAATAGATACACTATAACGTTATGCCATATATATATACTTCAATATGGCAGAAGCAAAGAGAAACAAGGAACAACAAAGGCATATGTGAATCATGTGTTAAACTTTCCATATCAATCAATGACTTGATTTAAAGATATACAATCAATGAGACATAACAATTTCCATACTTGATATACATCAATAAAGCTTAGGCCCAAATGGCACAGAAGACATAAGATTTCTGATTAACATCTTGGTAGATTTCAGGCTTATAGCCCTGTTAAACCATTTGTCAATGCCATAGAATAGAATTCATTCTCTTACATACATCGCCAAATGCTACGTACCATTACCAATGTGAATCTAAGTGCTTTCACTGATCACATGTTCAAAGGTATTACTTTTGCTATTAAAATAGCGAATAAAATAACATGGAAAAATAATCCGGAATAATAACACTGAAAAGCACATAGCACATATAACACATAACATACAATTGTTCCTATATATTGAACTCACCGTGAAATAACCGGGGGTTAAAATAATAATTTGTGTAGCACTTCGTTAATATAAATAGCTTTCATCGTTGAAAACCGGGAGATATACTAAAAAATAAGCCTTGCGAGGGTAGAGCTTCAAATCAAAAAGATAAATTTATCGAGCTTCTCGGGCACTTCGGGGCGTGTTTTGGATGTTGGAAATGATATTGGGGCTTCGGGATGTCAAAATAGCTAAAATATGAATTTAGGGTGAAAAAGTGCCAAAATCTGAAAACTACCCGGGAAGGCTCGCAGGCCTCCCTTTTATAAGAGGAGAGGTGCGAAGGTTCGGATCCGAGGCTAGGAGAAGCGAGAACATGGCTCGCATGCGAAGGGGGAAGGGCAGCTGGCGGTGCGAGGCTCGGACACGCGTCCGCTTCGGATTGGACCAACCTTTGGTGCGAGGGAGTGCGACACGGGTCGGACAGATGTCTTCAGATGCACACGAGTCGAACACGGGGCGAGATCGTACGCGAGGTGACGTGGCCAATTCCTAGCCACACATGCGAAATTCCTCAGATTTTGTGCCTAAATCTTCAAAAATTCATAACTTTCGCATACGAGCTCCATTTTTGGCGTTCTTTGTATGCACGCATAGGCGAGAATATAATCTACAACTTTCTTTTGGACTCCGTTGACTAATTTTGAATTTATTTTTAATATTATTATTTTTAACAGACCGGGACAGGAAAATCCATTAAAAATTCATAACTTCTTCATCCGAAGTCCGTTTTCGTCAGTCTTTATATTGTTGTACTACTATTGATGAGACCTTCGATTCTCGTTTAGGTTGTGGCAACTTTGCACCACTAAATTGAGTTTACGGCCCCACCACTAAATGGTGCTAAAATGTTTCAAAACGAGTTTAACTTTGATAGATTTGAGTAAGTGTACAAGATAGAAATTCCGGGTTGTCACATCTTCCCACAACTACAACTTTCTCTTCACGAGTTCCTTTGAATGAACCAACCTACCTTTCTCCCCCTTGCGAGACATGTGCAAGATGTGTATCATTTGTTGGTAGGGAAAGAACCAAATCAAGTATTCAACAGACAAAACCATGGAAGGGATATATTATGGATAAATCGAAGATTGTGATGAAAGAGAAAATTTTGACAAAGTCTCTTGAAAGCCAGAAAGAGACTTTTCAATCTTCTCAAACACTTTCCCATCGGCTTCAGACCTTAACTTCAAATCACCGTAATAACTTTTATTAAATGTAGTAAGATCTTCCACCAATCGAGTTATTTCTCCCATTAACACATCAACCTTTTTATTAAATGAATGACAAAAATTATCAAGCTTTACAATCATTTACCATCTTCTCAGAAAGCACATGATGCTCACCAATTCTTTTGTCAACATCTTCAATAAGAGTTCATGTGTGAGACTCTTAAGTTTTTAAGAGATATTCAACCTCAACACTACTAACAGATGACTTCCCAGCACTATCATTCACAAATTGTAAAATCACATTCGACTTAGAGTTGAGAATTTTGAATTGTTTACCCAAAATTATTGCATTATCAGGCACATCATCTTCCTTCATATTAAACTCCAAGTCAACAAAGGCAACCATCACATCATCATCTTGTTCTTATTCATTAAAAACTTGTTTAACTTCAGTTAACTGAGATTAAAATAAAGTTATAAATGGCTCTTGAATCACTGTGGCAAAAGTTAGAGATACCCTATAAGTAGAAGTTGGAAGAATCATCTAAGTAGTAGGTGGAGATGAAGGTGGTGGTACAATAGTAGTTTCGATGATTTTAGTACCAATGGTTGAAGTCTCAATAGTTGTTCTTGATATGTTTTATAGATTATAATAACTATGTGATTGCGGAATTTCAGTTAACATTTAAGGGCACATGTAACGCAAAGGATCTATGTCTTTAATGCTTTGAATGTAACATGATATGAACAACAAAATAACTTGAACCCTAATATCTTTATGGTATAATCAAAGTAAAGGAATAAAGGTTACATACCTTTTGATTCGTTATAGTAAACAAATCAATGAAATCCATCTTAAACAATCTCCAAAAAGCAAATACCAAAAATCTCGTGTCTCTGATGGTTTACACCCAAACCCTAGCAACTAAGGAGACTTGAAGAGAGAGGAGAGGGGAGGTATATTTCGGCTATATTCTTAAGGGAACAAGTGGTCGAAGATATGAAGGTGTGAAGGCATATTTATAGCTGATAAGAAAACCCTAAATAACCTTTACTTGATTAAAATAATAACATTTCAAATTAGGTAATTATCTGGTTTCCTAATTATCTTCAAGATGTATTCTAGAAACCCTAGAATATTCCCCAAAACTGTCCACCTCTCATGCAGAAGGTTTTGGATCCCTTTTGTTCAACTATTGAACAACTATAGTTTAGTTCCTTGCACTTTTAATTAATCTAATTAATCCTAAAATTAATTCTAATTAATTTCTGATTAATTCTTAATTAAATAATAATATTTCTAATTAATATATTATTCTCATAATACATTAATAAATTAATTTTTTCTATTTATTAATCATATATTAAATCAAAAATCAGTCTCCAAAAATCATCATATTTAAGTACCAGGTTTGAGGTCAACCCAAAGGGACTTTGCTAATTCAAGATTATATTAATTTAATTATTGGCCTAGACACCTAATCCAACAGTTCTCCCATCACACATGTTAACATTTGCGTCCTTATGAGATAAGTTTGCATTGATGGTTGAAGTTTCTTCCTCCTCTATATTAGACTTGGAATACAAAACCTCGGGTGGTATGATTTTCGTCTTCTCTGGGAGTAAGGTACTTGGTTGTTCACCAAAATTGATGTGTGTGTCCATATCCAATATGTTTGTATTGACATCAAGAGTACTTGTCTGCTCGAAATTCGAATTTGATAGAGGTATCCTTTCTAGGCGAAACATGAAATAAATCATCATCCGTTTCTTCACTATCCTCATTTGTTTCTATTGGAATAGTGTCCAAGGTCATTAACTATTGGTAATATTTCTAATAATTGCAAGGTCCTTTTGGGTTGCCCTCAAGACCCAAATTGAGTAGGATAAATAAAGGAGAAATTGGTTTATTAATTATTATGGTTAATAATTAATTAGTAACTAATTGGAAATATATTTTGGAAATATATTATGGGAATTAATTAACAGTTTAATTAATTAAAGGGTTGAATGTTCATCAATCGATAGTTGGTTAATCAGTGATGTTCCAGAACCTTATGGAATTAGGGTTGGATGAAAATCACTCCATCCCATATGGGAAAGGAGTGAAATTTCGTGGTTATGCTCCCATCCCACATGGGAAGGAGTACTAAAACCTAGGAGGCATCCAAGGCTATAAATAGGGCCTTAGGGATTTCATTCCTTCTTGCACCTTGGCTTGAAGTATTCGCCAACCCTTCTTCCTCCTCCTACAAGGACTATTTCTAACCCCTTTGGGTTTGGGAAATTGACCCTTCTCCTAGTTATTTTATTCTACTCTTTGGTGTCATTAGGTGTGATACCATTAGAGGGATTCTGGTTTGGGTCCTTTCATCCAAGAAAATTCATGGAGGTTCAAGATCTCAAGCATGGAGATTAAGGGCATCATAAGAGGTATGTTTTCTTCCTTATGTTTAGTTTTCTAGGGTTTAAGTAATTAACATGAAGCCATAGATCCATAGGATGTATGTACATTTAATTGTTACATTGCGTCCTCGCAATTAATTAGAATTAATAACAGACAACTAAATTTAAAGAGTTTTAAATTTACCCCTTTTATTTATATATATTATAATTGTATTTATTATATGTATAAGAAAGTTACAAAATGTGCCCAAGCGTCTTTAAATATTGACATTGTTAGTCTTACCTCGACTAGGCTCACCCGTTCTAATGTAAGGGTTTAAGGAGGTCTCTATGATTCCTAATGAGGTCGGTTTTTAATATGCTTCGCGCTTACCACCCTCACCGCCCTATTGCAATTTGAGAATGGAGTTACCGAAAGGGTTTGATAGTTATAATGGTCAAACTAAAAGTATTCTAAATACAAGTATAAAATAAAATCACGTTTTATTAATAGAATGTGAGTTTATATTATCCATGAAAATATTCACATTCTCTTTATATTCTATTGACGGAGCTCGTGTGGTTAACGGACACATCAATCTAGAATATAGTTGGGAATGACATGGAACTCGCAAATCTCAAGCATAACTTGAGCCGGGGACCATGCAATTTTGTATGGTTAATTCTCAATCTATTTAATGTGAATCTTTCCATAAAAGTTGCACATTCTCTTTATAACGTGTTGATGGAGTTCGCGTGGTTAATCGGCACGTAATTTGAGAGTATAGGTAGAGAATGATGTGGAACTCACAAATCTCAAGCATAACTTGAGCTGGGGACTATGCAATTTTGTATGGTCGATTCACCATCTGTTTAGTGATCCGCAGTGACCCCATCATTGAATTTGAGATGAACATAATCCGAGATTAACATGCCATTGATAGTCAATGAATCTCAAAGATCTAGGAATCATAGTGTAATGCCCGTAGATCCGGACTAGTCAATTTAGAGGTAATAGGGGTCGAAAATGACTTTTCGACAAAAGATTTCTAGAACAAATAATCTTAACCAAGTTTTAGAATATGTCACAAGGTTTCCGTACATATAAAGAGCGTCGAAATCCGAGTTATAACGAAGAAGATAGGACCCGTCAAAGTTTCGCGATGGAACTGACACGGCACCGGGAAGCGTAAATAGTGATTTTACGATGGATGACTTTTTAGCCTTAGTGGTCTAAATGAAAGTTGTAGAATATGTTAAACTGAGAAAATCCATAAAAAGAATGCCCAAATATGACTTCGTATGAAGAAGTTATGATTTTTCTAAGATCCGGCTTAGCAGTGCACGACCCGAAACTTGAATTTTAGTTCGAGCGGTTTTTGGCTTACGTAACTTAAATGAGAGTTGAAGATCTCATTAATAGGAACTTAATAGTAAAAATACATACAAAAACAAAGTCCATATGAAGGAGTTACGAATTCTTCGCGGTCATTTAACAATCTAAACACCTTGTACTGTTAAATTTAAGATCGGTCGAGAATTAGCCGACAGAGTCAAAATGAAAGTTGTAGATATTATTTTTAGCTATGCCTGGATATAAAGAACGTAAAAAATGGAGGTCGTATGTGAAAGTTATGGATTTTAGAAGTCAAAAGTGTGCTGTGCGAAAATGGGTAATGTGACACAATCTTGACAATTGCTTTCTCCCCAAGTCTTGCCACTAGACGGTGACATGTGGCACCAAGTTCAGTCATTTCACCCTATAAATAGAACCTCTTCCACCCTCATTTTCTTCACCTCTTTCTCATTCTTTCTTCTCTTTACTCTCTCTCTAGCCCCGAAACCCCCTAAAAGCCTAGGGAACCTCCCTAGCACGAGGCGGAAGCCCCTGGGTGCTCGACGGCTCCGAGAAGAAGAGCTTTTCCGCACAGGAATGCTACTCCATGTAAAGCCTGTTTTTCTATAAAACCCGCTGTACGTGAGCTACACCTACGCTATTTTTAATATAGCTTTTATTTAATTATATTAATGTTATTAAGAACATATAATAAGTAATTGGGCTATTATTATGGGTTATATAAGTATTATTTAACGGTTATATAATAGTAATAATAGCTAGACTATTAATTAGTCCCGGTGAATAATAGACTAAACTCTAGTAGTAATAATACTAGGTTTCGTCGAAGGATTTTTTTTTCAAGAAGTGAAGTGTTGTCTGAGTTCGGAATCACCACCTTTTCAAGTGAGTGCATAGTTACTTTCATCTTACACATAGATATGAAGTATTTTATATAAATTACGTGCTATGTGTGCATATTATCTGAGTACTTGTTGTCTATGCTAAATGAACGATTTTATACATGTTTTAAATGATTTAAACTGTATATGTATTTTATATCTACGATAATGTTGGGGTAAACATGGGTAGATATAATAAATGGAATATGAGTTGAATGATGAGTTGAGAGGTGTTATAGACCATGAGGTGAAGGTGAGAGGCGGATGATGTGAGAAGCATTTTTCCCAAATGATGGCCCCGTCATTCAGCAGAGTATGGATGACAACCACAGACTATTCTAGACAGTCCAGTTGAACACTAGCAGGCTCGCAACGTGAAGGTGTTGTGAATGATGTGTTCACCCGGTGTACTCTAAACCCTGGTGATCATGAAGACTTGATGCCTAAACCCTGGTGATCATGCTGACTTGATGCCTAAACCCTGGTGATCATGCAGACTTGATGCCTAAATCCTGGCGACTATGCAAACTTAGTGCCTGTTGTGTAAACCGTGGCAACGATGGACTTTGTGCCGATTCCTTAGGATGATCCTTAGGAATGAATGAACGAGGAATAGTTGATTCTTAGGGTAGATCCTTAAGATTAAAGAAGATAATGGGGATGGGTAATTGGGTTGATTGTTTGATTGTTTAAACATAATAATTATATTATTGTGGGTTGAAAATCCTATGTACTCACCAGGTTTTCCAACCTAACCCACTCCGTTTATTTATATCACAGGTTTTGATATTAAGTCACATTACACTGAGAGATTAAAGAGATGTAGATCACTAGTGTACATAAATGTAAGTTCTGTTTATGATTATGTTTCTGTATTGATGATGACATCCCAAACATTTTAAAACGAATAAAATACGTTTCTTCGAAAATATTTTGATAACGTATTTATCGTATTTTTCTGGGAACAAATTCCGCAACCTTTTTATGAAAAGAAGTACTCTGATTTTTAGAAAGCATAAACAAAATCAGTCTTGTCTGGCCGTGAAAATGGGGATGTCACAGTTGGTATCAGAGCATTAGTTTAAGCGAACTAGGAATTTGTAGGAAATTTCTAGACATAAACTTAGAATGCTAAGCAACGATTGTGAGGTGTGAGCACTAGCTTATTTTAGGAATGATGCGTAATTGCTTTTACGTGCTAAATGATTTGTTATGCTACAGTTTGATCGGATCTATGGTCTGTTGCCAACCGGATCTGGAAACCTTATGTGTTTAGGATTCTAAATGTACGAATACGATATTAGAACTAGCATATAAATGTTTCGGAGTGATAAAGATGAGTTAAACGTCGATCCTAAATAAAGATCTAGATTCACCTTATTCGGTGTATAGATCAAGATGGCAAGGACCCTTACCGGACACGTGAATACAAATGGGAACTGAAACCAACCCCCAATGATTGAGCAAATATCGGTTGTGGTAGCCACTGCGGAGCCAATAAGGATGGTCGGAGTGCAAGCGATGATCCAGGCGATGTTGGATCATCAAATGGAGGAAACCATACGTTTGCTCCAGCAAAATCGAGAGGAAGCGACCATACAGATCGAACAGCCTGAGTTGAACGAAGGGCGGACTGAGGAGGGAAACTACAGTGGGACCGTTGGTCAAGCCAACCCACCGATAGTGAGGCAAAACCACCAGGACGGAGGAAATGATGGATGTAGATGCAAATACGAGGATTTCATGGCGTCCAAACCACCGAGTCTATCTGGAAGCCCGACGCCAGTGGAAGTCATGAATTGGATCTCCGAGATGGAGATGATGTTTGAGAGTTGCGAGTGTAGCACCAGGCAAAACACCGCTCTCGCGATTCCTCTATTGAAATCTGGAGTACTAAGCTGGTGGAAGCTACTAGCTGATTCGATGCCCAAAGGAGAAGCGAGCAAGATGTCTTAGGAAGATTTTCTGGTGCAGTTAAAGATGCAGTACTGCTCTGTGCAGGATCTTCTGGAGATCAACAATGAGTTCCAGAATCTAAAGAAAGGAAGGATGAGTGTCATCGAGTATGCTGCAAGTTTTACGGAGAAAATGATGCTTGTTGCTTACCTAGTCCCAACCGAACTCTCCAAGGTTAACAAGTTTGCCCATGGATTACCAGCAGA